GAATTCTCATTTATATTCCATATATTTAAAAATTCTTCACCAATATGTACTTAAAAATAAAATCATTCCGACTAAATAAAATGTGATTTACCTAATTTTACTTTTTTAGATCATGACCAAAAATCAATTAGTTTTGTTATATATTTAAAACTTACATTAAATAACATGCGCATACGCATAGGTATTCACCTAGTATTAAAGAAGGTTAAAACTTTCATCATGGTCATAATAGATAATTAGTCAATTTCAATTCACACCAAACTCATATATACACAATCAAATTCCCAATCAGATGATACACAATAATGAGAAAGGGCGAGGTTGGATATATTTTTGTGTTACTTAATTAGAAAACTAATTAAACTTTGATTTTTTTTTTTTGTGGATTTTAGTCGATCATCGTCTACTTAAAAGTCGAATATATTATGCAGATAAATCGACTCTCTTAGTAAATTAATCAGATCACACCGAAAGTAATCGGACCATACAAGAAATAATCGTACCACCGATTTTGTTTTTTTCAACCAATTGATGATGTATTTTCTTGTTCATCACAATTTCACAATGCATGTCAATTGTGGAAGCTACTTAAAAGTGAGAACTGTTGATACGTGAGTTCGACAATATATTTGTTAAACAGTAAGAGGTTCGGAAATTCTCGTATATTGATAACGTGATCGGAAATGGGTTACAAACAGCGTATATATAAAGAGAAATGAATGTAAAAGACGCTGAGCCTGGAAGCTTATAAGCTGACGAACCTTGTGCTTCTTGTGCTTCTCCGATTAACTGAGTAATGAGATCGGTGTTCTGAGACCGGAGACTGAGTGATAGGTGGGTGTAACGAGGTCGGAAACGGAATGATAAGTACGTATTTTGAGGTCGGAACCTGATGATAAGTGCTCTGTGATCGAGGTAAATACGGATTCTGCAAGCCGTTTTCTAACGAACTTCCGTACAATTCCGGCGGAAAACGTATGAACAGAATTCTTTTCTTTTTTTGGGTGAGTTAGAGTCCTGAAAACCGTTGGTCTTTCAGTTTCCTTGTACTCTCCAAAGAGTAATAACTGATGGATAATAGAAGGTGGGGGACCCCTATTTATACTAGATGGAGGAGGTACATTAATGTAAGGTTTCCTTTGAGACTTGAGTTGGGCCTTTAATTATGTCGGGCCGAGCTCGGCGAGATGGACTTTATAATTTATCAATTATAAGGCCCATGCCCAACAAGAACGTTCAATG